TGATGAATTGATCATGTATATTCATTTGGCTGTATGAAATATATATGAAGCTAGTCGCATCTGCAAATATTTATGTGAAATTGATAATTTTTCAAGTGACAATTTTCAGAAGTAATGATTGCACTTTGTCTTTGGCTTTGTTATTTTTTGATTCGATATCAATTTTAAAACTAGCCTTTTGTTTATCATAGTCTATGTAAAGTAAACGATGGAAATTTTTAAAAAATTAGAAAAATAATCGTTTTTTGGTAATCAAAGAATAATTTTTTCATAATATGAAGGGTTGAATCATTTTAATTTCATCACTGAATACAAATAAAGCACACGTTTTTTTAAAAATATAAAAGTAAAATAAAATAAAACCAAATAAAGTCGCAAGAAGATTGATGTCATTGTGAATTCAATAATCATATATCAGATACGATTATTATATACATTCTTGAATCGAATTCTTTTTTTATTGCATCATCGCGCAAGAAACTATATTAGACTTTGTTCCACAATATTCAGATCTATTTTAAAAAATCCAAGCCAAGAATTATATAAATATCTACATCTTATAGATTTAGCTTTTTTGAAAATTCGTAGTGTTCTTTTTTAAATACTTTTCTGAAAGTTGATTGCTTTTGTGTATTGTATATTACAACGACTGCTACATTACTGATGCCCTTTTGTAAAATATTAAAAGTTGCGTTATTTTTTAGATGTAATACAAGTAACGTTCATCGACATTGAATGTCGATTCACTTGTCCCTAGGCTGACGGAATGATGACAAAGATGTCCTTATATTTTAAAATAAAAATGAATTCTGTATAATGATGAGTTTAGGAGAAATTATTAATATTTGTAACATTTTCTATATTACATACTATACATGTACTCAAATAGTTCACAAAAAATATTAAAAGATGCTAATGTATAGGAAAAAGTTTATGCTTTACTTAATTATAACGACTAACATGGTGATTTATGTCAAAGCAATGGCCATTTCTAATACGGACGTTGCCAATTGTGACACAGACATGATCATTTGAGCCATAAGAATGGTCACCTGTGCCATAGAAATGGTTGATTGTGCCATGAAAATACTGAATTGAGCCATACAAACGGTCGTCTGTATAATGAAAATGGGCAATTGTGTCAAATAAATGGTCCCCTGTACCACCAAAACGGTACTTTTGTACTATGAAAATGGTCAGCTGTACCACGACTATGGTACTTTGTACCACGAAAATGGTCACTTGTACCATTACTATGGTACTTTGTACCACAAAAATGGGTACTTGTACCATTACTATGGTACTTCGTACCACGAAAATGGTCACTTGTACCATCACTATGGTACTTTGTACCATGAAAATGGTCACTTATACCATCACTATTTTTTCGTGTTCTCCACAAACTTCACATGGAGAACTCAAACTCAATGAAGCACAAAGACTTTCTACATTACTTCTGTGTCTTCCATACATGCGCGCGAAAACGATACCATGGTTTACGATAAAAACAGGTCTTGGTCAGTGGACTCGTAATTTGCGTCAAAAAAGCTTTTTTGTACCTTGGAAATGGTGATTTGTGCCATAAAAATGGTGATTTGTGCCATGGAAATGGTCATTTGTACCAAGCGCTTGTTACAGACAGACAGACAGACGGACAAGCAGATACAGGTGAATTTCGGTTTCTAGACCCTAGCCTTTCAGTCTAGGGAACAAGTTTCTTGTATTAAGGCATATAAGAAACTAAATTCATACGTTTTGTCTTCTTATAAAACTCATCATCGTCATTATAAAGTCGAATATTATATAGATGTATTTATTTCTTCTTTTATTACGTTTAGTGCAAAGGGAATACGTCTAAACAACAAACAGCTGAAATGAAAAAAATAAAGAAGGGATGATATAGCACTGTTATAGTAATTATTGATTTGATATTATCAGAAGAGTATTCAACAATAACTTTATAAAATTTTTATATCTCAACATTCGTCTACGTAGTTTAACTTTATAAATTATAATTTATTTTAAATGAAACGTTTTACGCAGATGATTCATTTGAGAAAATTGCTATATTTCAGATTGTAATATAGAAACGAAACTATTCAAGCAAAAAATGAACACACGATGTATTTTTTGTTCTACATTGTGTGCGGGTTCTTCTTGTCCGCAATGTAACCAAATGAATCGTAGTCTCAAATTTACACGTTTACTTCAACTTTTGGAAATATGTTCTGAAAGTGTCCTGTACCATGATGAAATCAATTTTGTTGTGCAACGAGTTCAACAAGTGAGTTTATTTAGAATAATGATTAAATTATAATACGTAAAACGTTGTAGATTGAATCAATCATGATACCACTTCAATTTTATCCTACTCAAGTTTTCAATGAGACAAAACATATAGTAGATGTGGTAGCTAAGGCATATCTTGAAAAAGCGACTGGCAATGTACATCATCTGGTTCCGGTCGAAGTCATTGCTGATGGAAATTGTTTATACAATTCTATTGTTCTTCTGATGAATGATCCATCAGTAACAACGAGTGAATTACGAGGTATAGAAATTTATTTTTATTTTATACTATGGTATAATTTTTTTTTAAACAATTTTTAGTTCGTACAATTATTGAACTTGTAAAAAATGAAAATTATTATCAAAATATATATTCACAATACGTCGGACCTATCGATATAGCTATCAAAGCTATGTGCAAAAATTATACGTATTCTGAACTATACGAAATAGTCGCACTCTGTAATGTACTTCAATGTAACATACAAAGTGTTTATCCAAAAATTGATTTTCAACATTATATGGCAATTTTCAATAACGTTTTTAAACCTGTTTCACCAATTATTGCTAATTGTAACATTGCAAGTTTATGGTCACACGCCTTGAATGAAAAAGACGCACGAGAGACGAATAATGGCACATGGAGTCCGAATCATTTTGTTCCACTTATGTCGCCATCTATTCGTAATGAATTTACCAACATTAATCAATCAACACTAATTGTTGTGGTAAGCTATTTATCTGTAAATGAGAGCTCGTAAATTTTTAAATCTTTCTTTAGACTCCTGAAAAGAGAACGTATAAAAATAAAGCTGTTACTCAAATAAGAATTCCTGAGTTTCAATCTTCTCCTAGTAAACGCTTACGAAGTGAAGAAAACATCGAAAATGACACCACTCAACCAATTACTTCAAGCTCAATACAGAAGAAAACGAATGACAAAGAAGAAAAACGTCAACTTCTACTTGAAAAGAAAAGACAACGCAGTCGATCTAGTCGTATGAACGAAACAGAAGAACAACGTCAAATTCGACTTCAGAAAAAAAGAGAACAAACTCGATCCAGTCGAATGAATGAACCAGAAGAGCAACGTCAGAATCGACTGCAAAAATTAAAAGAACGAAATATATCCAGTCGAGCAAATGAAACAGCGGAACAACGTCAGACTCGACTTCAAAAACTAAAAGAACGAAGTACATCTAGTCGAGCAAATGAAACAGAAGAGCAACGTCAGAATCGACTTGAAACCCTCAATGAACGAAATAAATCCAGTCGAGCAAATGAAACTGAAGAACAACGTCAGATTTGACTCGAGCAGCAAAGAAAGCGAAGTCAAATGAATAGAGATGACAAGAAACGTACGCAAAGGACATTAGGCAATAGTGATATTCAACAAGAAAATAATTCCATTCGTCCACCTTGGCCCGAACCAATTCCTCGTGATTTAAAAGAAACTCGTTTACAACAGTTTTTAGAACAGATGTCTATGTCAGTACTGGCTGAAGCTACTTGTGCAGTTTGTAATATTCGTACCCCAACAAAAGATTCGAAGAAAATACCAATTTCAAAAATTCCTAATATT